TATTTTTCTAACTGTTGGTCTGTATGTTTTAAGCAACACTATGTAACAATTTTTACCTTGAATAATTTTTCCAAAATCTTATCAGTGGTTCATCAAGTTGTAACAGAGTGAAAGGCACTTCTGCCAGCCTGACGGGGTTCAGGTAGTAACCCGACCACAAAAAGAAAAGTCAAAAGTCAACTGCTTCACGTCAAGCGCTACATTAGTCATTGTTTTGTTTGTCTTCGTTTCTGATGTCGCAATACATCATCCTTTCATGATATCATGCAACAATACTCCCTTGTCTGTGGACATTGTTCATTCCAAAACCGGTGCTGGATAAAAAAAAAACGAACGTGTGTGCGACGGTAGGCTGCAGCAATTATTTACGACAGCGGTAATGGACAATTTCGTTTACAACCAGTAGGGTGACCGAAGAGGAAAAGTTCCATGGTGTTGCTTTAAATGGATAGTTGACCCAAAAATATCCATATCTGTTTATGTATACAGTGGGGCCAAAAAGTATTTAGTCAGCCACTGATTGTGCAAGTTCGCCTACTTAGAATAATGAGAGAGGTCTGTAAGTTTCATCATAGGTACACTTCAACTATGAGAGACAAAATGAGAAAAAAATCCAGGAAATCATTTAGTAGGATTTTTAAAGAATTTTTTTTGTAAATAATGGTGGAAAATAAGTATTTGGTCACCCACAAACCAGCAAGATTTCTGGCTCTCACAGACCTGTAACTACTTGTTTAAGAAGCTCTTCTGTCCTCCACCCGTTACCTGTATTATTGTACCTGTTTGAACCCGTTATCTGTTTAAAAGTCACCTGTCCACAGCCTCAAACAGTCACACTCCAAACTCAACCTTGGCCAAGACCAAAGAGCTGTCGAAGGACACCGGGAAGAAAATTGTAGACCTGGACCTGATGAATGACCTGCAGAGAGCTGGGACAAAAGTAACAAAAGCAACCATAAGTAACACACTACACCGAGAGGGACTCTAATTCTGCAGTGCCATGCGTGTCCCCACCTTAAAGGGTTAGTTCACCCAAAAATGAAAATTCTGTCAGTGTTTACTCACCCTCATGTTGTTCCAACCCCGTAAGATCTTCGTTCATCTTCGGAACACAAATTAAGATATTTAAGATATTAAGATCGCTCCTGCATACAGTCCATAGGCTTCTTGAGGGAATGACTCTTGCTGGCATCGAAAAGTAATTAAAGACATCGTTAAAATAGTCCAAGTGACTACAGGGGCTCAACTTTAACTTTATCAAACGACGAGAACACTTTTTGTGCGCAAAAACAACAAAAATAACGACTTTATTTCAACTATTCACTTCCTTTTCCATGGGCCTGTAGTCAGTTAACGTAGTGTGATTGCGTAAAGCTACGTCACACGTAGGCTCACTATTGGCCGACGCTGGTCATGTGTGTGTGATGCGTGTGACGTACAATAACAGAAGCTTACGCTGTTAAAACTAGTAACCTGACTTGCGCAGAGGGAGAAATAAACGAATAGTTGAAATAAAGTCGTTATTTTTGTTGTTTTTTTGCACACAAATTTTTTTTTTGATAAACTTAAGATTGAGCCACTGTAGTCACTTGGACTATTTTAACGATGTCTTTAAAGACTTTTCGAGGCCAGCAAGTCATTCCCTCAAGAAGCCTATGGACTGTATGCAGGAGCGATCTTAATATCTTAAATATCTTAATTTGTGTTCTGAAGATGAATGAAGGTCTTACGGGGTTGGAACAACATGAGGGTGAGTAAATACTGACAGAATTTTCATTTTTGGGTGAACTAACCCCTTAAGTCTGTACATGTCCAGGCCTGTGTGATGTGTGGCAGAGAGCATATGGATGATCCAGAAGAGGATTGGGAGAATATCATGTGGTCAGATGAAACCAAAATAGAACTTTTTGGTAAAAACTCAACTCGTCGTGTTTGCAGGAAGAATAATGCAGAGTTGCATCCCAAGAACACCATACCTACTGTGAAGCATGGGGGAGGAAACATCATGCTTTGGGGCTGTTGTTCTGCAAAGGGGACAGGAAAACTGATCCGTGTTGAGGGAAGAATGAACGGGGCCATGTATCGTTAGGTTTTAAGCCAAAACCTCCTTCCATCAGTGAGAGCCTTGAAGATGAAACGTGGCTGGATCTTCCAGCATAACAATGATCCCAAAACACACCGCCCGGGCAATGAAAGAGTGGCTCGTAAAAAGCATTTCAAGGTCCTGGAGTGGCCTAGCCAGTCTCCAGACCTCAACCCCATAGAAAATTTGTGGAGTCCGTGTTGCCTAGCGACAGCCCCGAAACATACAAAATACAATCTACAGTGTGTGCAAACCTGGTGAAGACTTACAGGAAACGTTTGACCTCTGTCATTACCAACAAAGGTTATGTTACAACAAAGTATTGAGTTGAACTTTTGTTATTGACCAAATACGTATTTTCCACCATAGTTTACAAATAAATTCTTTAAAAATCCTGCAATGTGATTTCCTGGATTTTTTTTTCTTCTCATTTTGTCTCTCATAGTTGAAGTGTACCTATGATGAAAATGACAGACCTCTCTCATTATTCTAAATAGGAGAACTCGCACAATCAGTGGCTGACTAAATACTTTTTGGCCCCACTGTTGTCTATATTGAGGCATTTCTCAAAATATCTGCTTTTATTGTGCCCTATACCTGTACATATCAATGATCTCGAAGCTGTTCATTACATTAATAAGCCCCTTAATTTATTAATCTAGTATGCAATTAGCAGCAAGCGTTCATAAATACTTGCACCTCCTCATTTTAAAAGGCTTTATTAAAATTTAATTTAATACATATCAAGTGTTGGTTAAATTCTTTAGAGTCCTTGTATTATGTATAGCCTTTATCAGCCATCTGCAGGCCTGCTCTCAGCATTCATAACTTTGCACTGTTAATCACTGTGCCGCAGTGCCGAACGGGCACACCGTTGACTCACGCTTGTTTGTGTGTGTCTGTTTAAGCTGCAGCCATCAGCTATTCAGAAGACAATCAGTTCAGGTCAGCAGTGGAGACAAACTCTTTCACATCAGCGGTGTGCTGTGACGTCTGTATAGCCACTGTCCGCAAGGTTTAAAAAAAGATCTGGTTTGTCTCGCCTCTGCTTAACTGAGGCAGTGTGTGGTAGAACCCAAAAGCATGCCCACCACAGCTGCAGCTCACTCTTGCATCAATTGTTTTATTGTTAATATTATGTTGAAGATATTTTAAGACAATAAATGGCTAATTGTGGAAACAATAATCCTTGTCACTGAAAGTGTATACAGTTGCAAGTGTCAGGGACAGTTTAATAACATATTGTATTACTCTATAGTAACAAGAAGTTGTATTTAAATAAACTATAATTAACCATTAAGCAAAGACATCTACATGAAACCCTGTTTGCAGATTTAAAATCTCGAATGTGAGTGAAACAGGAGATTGTACTGTGGTTTAACAACATGCCAGTTCAGCTGACAAAAAGTCAAATTTTCAGTAGCTAAAAATGTTATAAAACTGTTTTGAAAATTGCGAGATTCAAATCACGTGGGATGTGTAAAATTGTATATCTGTCCATCACAGCCTTGTCGTGTTAAATTCATTATGGCATCTGATTTGAGATTATTGGCTGCGGGTCAGTAACATCAGCAGAAAAGGAAATAAAATAAAAAAATATTAAAAAGATTATATTTAAAGCCTGTATGGTTTGGTGAGAAACTTTTTTATTAGCAATTTTTCAGATAAAATTTCAGTTTTTGTAGGGCTGCATAATTTGGCCAGAAAATTTGCATTATATATAAATAACATATAAATAATAAAAATGATGACAATGCTTAATAATAATAATAATAATAATAATATTAACACTTAACAATGCTTCATTAGTTAACATTAGTCATCTACTTTAGTTAACATGAACTAAGTATCCACAATAATTCTACAGCATTTATAGTTAATATATATGCTATATATATGATAGTTATACATAACTATATATGATATATATAGTTATTAATATAGTTTGTTTATATTAACATTTGTTAATACATTTAAAAAAAACAAATGTATTTGTTAACATTAGTTAATGCTGTATTTTCATTAACTAACATTAACAAAGATTCATAAATTCTGTAACAAATATATTGCTCATTGTTAGTTCATGTTAGTTAATACACTAACAATTGAGACCTTATTGTAAAGTTAAAATTCTAATGATAATTGTTGTTGTTATTAATATTATTATTACATACTGTATATTCAACAAAAGATGAAATATTACTATTGTATTTTTTATTTTACAGTGTAATTGTACATTTACAGTGCTAATATGTATGTGTTCTTCAGACTTATATTTTGGTGTAAATCAAACTTTATTTTGGTATATATATCTTATCAAACTTATATTTTGCTATATATATCTTATCAAACTTATATTTTGCTATATATCTTATCAAACGTATATTTTGCTATATATATCTTATCAAACTTATATTTTGCTATATATATCTTATCAAACTTATATTTTGCTATATATATCTTATCAAACTTATATTTTGCTATATATATCTTATCAAACTTATATTTTGGTATATATATCTTATCAAACTTTATTTTGGTATATATATCTTATCAAACTTATATTTGGGTGTATATATCTTATCAAACTTCTATTTTGGTATATATATATCTTATCAAACTTATATTTGGGTATATACAGTATATATATCTTATCAAACTTATATTTGGTATATATATATATCTTATCAAACTTCTATTTTGGTGTAAAACTGCAGGTAGCCCTTAAAGCTTGACACGGTGCTGTGTGATTGTTTTTATTTCGATTTATCATTCAGCTCACATCTATCTTCTTTGTGCATGCAATAACAAGTTTTACATTTTTTTTTTTTTTATCTGATGTACTGTCAATGCCGTGGGTGTGAAAGTGAGTGTCGAAATAGCGTCTGCAACTTTATTCTCCCTCATTGTCTCACAGGGGCCTCTGCAGGAATGGAGAACGGAGGCTTAATGAATTTTGACTATGGGGAGGCATTGTGGGAGAATGCAGAGAAGAACCGCTACATCTTATGCCGTTTCATCAACCCCAACAAGCTAACCTCATATCTGCGGCAATGCAAGGTCATCGACGAACAAGACGAAGACGAGGTGCTCAACTCGCGTCTGCTAGAGTCCAAAGTCAACCGAGCAGGTATTATTCAGTGTTCTCTTGTGTGCGCGCTATAGCACTGTTGATGATGTGATACGGCTCCATCCGAGGTTGGTTTCACTCTCTAACTCGGATTGAGGAGGCATCAACATTCATGGATGCCAGTGACAGAAAATACTAAACACTGTGGAATATGGAAATGCAAATTCCATGCCGAAAACATTTACATGCAAATCACATCATCAATCAGTTACTCGGTCACCCCATCTTTCACTGTGTTTTTTTTCCAGTGGTGTAATTTGATGATGAATGGACGCTTTTAATCCTGTGAGCTGCTGCTGTAGTTTTTCTTTCCCAACGACTCCTTCCTGAACCTTCGTATCATTTTTCAACTTCCGAACGGCCAGAGGCAGAGCGGATGACAAGGATTTCGCCGAGCAGCTTGCTAAAGTCTGCGCTGTTTGTTTGTCACAAAGCAGCTCATCAAAATGCTTGTTTACCACGGCTGGGATTTTCACAGCCCCTTAATGATTCTCTTTTCCCTCTGGGACTAGCAGTTTGGCAAGTAATACAGAAGATCTTTCAAGTACTTTTTGTGCCATGACGTTCTCTAGCGAGTTAAAATACAATGCGTCGCTTTTATCAAAGACAAGTCTGGACTTTCCTGCTGCAGTGCAACAAAACTACAAAGTATAATTCAAGCTTCAAGCGATTCGTCTAACCACACCAGATGCGACAAAATAAAACAAGCTAATAAGTAAATTACAAATCACAGCCAATCCGAATAATAACATTTCTGTCTCGTTTTAATAGAATGCAGATCACAATCAGTACCTGAGCTGTCGGTTACATTTGTGAAATGAATTGTGATTTATTGGATGGTGGTCTCTTTGGAGCCTCTCAAGGGTTGATGGACCTTTAATCCCACTTTAAGCAATACACCAGGTCTGATTGGCTAGTATAGTTTGTAGAAGCATGTTCGCAGGATCCTGAAAGTCTGAAGACCTGAGAAACTAAATTACTGACTCATTTTTAACATTTAAAAAAAAATGTCATCAGCGATAATGGAACAAATAACAAAGTTTTTTTTTATAGATGAAAAATGTGGAAAGAATATGGTTCTCTTATTTCACATGATGTTGTGTTCATGTTGATTGTTTGAAATGTCGATGCAAGGCGCTATGTAAAATAGTTTTTCCCATATTGTGACGAACATCTGAGTACAACAGATTCTTGAAAAAAGAGAAAAAACGGAGGGTAGTTGTTGATGGGATGGAGTCAGATCTGAATGTGAGCTGATTATGAAAGAAAGGGTGGGGTTTAAAGGGTTTACTGTAGAAGGAAAAGATGTGTCATTAATTACTCACCCTTGTGTCTCTCTAAACCTGTTACCTGATTTTCATTCATCTTCGGGACACAAATGAATATATTTGTAATGAAATCTGAGAGATTGTCTGTCCCTTCATTGACAGCCTACTGCACCAGTAACTTTGATACTAACAAGTATCTTGAATTTGTGTTTTGATGATGAATGAAAATCTTGGAGTAAATGATGACAGAGTTTACATTTTTGGGTTCACTAACCCTTTAAGCGAATTGAATGATTGTAGAAGTCCAGCATATGTGTCACCAGAGAGAAGTTTGATCTTTTACTGGAAGGTTTATGACATTTTGCATTACAAGATCAAAAAAAAGAGAAAAGAAACCAATGCATGGATGAATTATTCACTATAAGATCACTAAATGCACTCAGAGAATAGATAGGGTGGATTTCCATTTTATTCTGGCTTCAGCCCTAATATATATTAGGGCTGTGAAACGATTAATCGCGATTAATCGCATCCAAAATAAAAGTTTGTGTTTACATAATATATGTGTGTGTAGTGTGTATAATTATTTTGTATATAGAAATACACACTCATGCACGTATATATTAAAGAAATATTTGCATGTAAATACTTTATATATATTTTAGGGCTGTGCAAAAATTAATTGCGATTAATCGCATCCAAAATAAAAGTCTGTGTTTACATAATATATTTGTGTATGCTGTATATAATTATTTTGTATATATAAATACACACACATGCATGTATATATTTAAGAAAATGTGTTATTCATTTATAAAATATTTATATTTATATAATATAGATTATGTATTTTTATATATATATACAGAATATAAGTGCAAAAAATTCTTAAATATATACATGCATGTATTGGTATTTATATATACAAAATAATAATTATATACAGCACGCACAAATATATTATGTAAACACAGACTTTTATTTTGGATGCGATTAATCGCAATTAATTTTTGCACAGCCCTAATATATTTCGATATATACATGCATATATGTGTATTTATATATACACAATAATTACACACACTACACGCATATATTATGTAAACACAAACTTTTATTTTGGATGCGATTAATATTTGCTTTAATTTGTTTGTCTTGTCAGGTACATAACTAAACTAAGATGCTATTTTATTGAAAAAAAAAACCATAAACAATGACAGTGATATAACATCAAATAATGACTAAATTTTAAGTAAAAAAACAACAGTGTAAAAATATTACCGCTGCTGCTGTTTGATCAAGTCATTCAACCTGATCCTATTAACAGATACTAAGTATTTTTATAAGCGTCACATCAGGTAGAAAAACCACATTGTACTTTTCTCAGTTCAACAAGTGTAATGCTGCATTGGTTTTTGCCTCAGGTCGGTTGTTGGATATCCTGCACACGAAGGGAGAGCGAGGCTATGTGGTTTTTCTAGAGAGTCTGGAGTTATACTACCCTGACCTCTACAAACTCGTCACGGGGAAGGAGCCCACTCGCAGATGTTCCACTATAGTCGGTGAGATGCTTGTAAACTAAAATGCCACCCATATAAATTGACCTACGACCATGCCTTAAAATGTCTGTTCCCTTCCACCTGCTTCCCCTCTGGGATGAGCATCTGCAGTAGCCTAATAAACCAGTACTGTGGTGGCACTATGGTGCACTAATGGTATCAGAGGGTACTTTGGTGATAAATGATTACGATATTTACATTGTATCTCAATAATAACGTGGTACTTTGTATTTCTTTGGCTGTATTTGGTTGTTTTCCTGTAGTGGAAGAGGGCCAGGAAGGACTCATCCAGTTCTTAATGAACGAAGTCATAAAACTACAGCAGCAGTCCAAGGCTAAAGACGTGCAGCGAGTGGATATCTTGTCCAAATGTCGCACACTAGAGGATGACTCCAAGAAGCTACGGCTGGCCAACCGGGAGTTGCTGACTTTCCAGGAACGCTACAATAAGATGAAAGAAGAGCGCAATAACTATAATGATGAACTTATAAAGGTGAAGGATGACAACTATCAGCTGGCCATGCGGTACGCTCAGCTCAGCGAGGAGAAGAATATGGCCGTGATGAGGAGCCGAGACCTTCAGCTTGAGGTCAGAGTAGCTTCTGAAAGCATTGCAGGATGATTTGAGTCTCCTAGATTTACTACTAAAAGCGATGGGTCACTCATATTTACAGGAGTTATTTGACTATGTGGGATACAAATGTTGGCTGCTGTCTCTCCATTTCCTCCAGATTGACCAACTAAAGCACAAATTGAACAAGTTGGATGAGGAGTGCAAAATGGAGAGAAGGCAATCTCTGAAATTGAAGAATGACATTGAGAACCGGCCTCGGAAAGAGCAGATATTTGAGCTGGAGCGGGAGAATGAGGTCTTGAAGATCAAAATCCAGGAGCTGCAGTCCATCATACAGGTGAAGACCCTTTCTGCATCACAGTAAATGGAAGACAGTGAAAAGCAAACAGTTGGGAAAGGTTATTCAAAGTTTTCACAGTTGTTTTGCTTCTTTTCTCGCATAGCCCGGTCCTCTGCCTGATTCAGACAAGGCCATCTTGGATATCCTGGAGCATGACCGACAGGAGGCTCTGGAGGATCGTCAGGAGTTAGTCAACAGACTCTATAACCTGCACGAAGAGGTCCGACAGGCCGAGGAGCTTCGGGACAAGGTCAGGACTAGCCTTATGCCTTGGATAATCATTTCAGCATCAAGCTCCTTCCCAAACAATGCATTGCAAATTTACATGTTGGGTAAAATAGCCTATTTTTAAGTAGATCAAAATAATGGATGCTTTTAAAAAAAAGGCCTTGCTAGGAAAATCTTTTCAAACATCAAATTGAAATATATTACTATTCAAAAGTATGGGTCTGTATGATTTTAAAAAAACTACCTGAAATACCTGAAATGAATCAAAAGTGACAGTAAAGATAATGTTACAAAATATTTTCAGGCTGTTCTTTCAATCTTTCTATTCATCAAAGACTCCTGAAACAAAAATGCATCACAGTTTCCATAAAAATATGAAGCATCAAAGCTGCTTTCAACATTGTTGATAATGGAAAATGTTTCTTGAGCATCATGAAGCTTCTGAAGGATCATGTGACACTGAAGACTGGAGTAATGATGCAGAAAATTCAACTAAATACTGAATAAATTACATTTCCATTTTCTTTACATTTATAAACTATGTCATTATAAAAATATGTCATTGATGAGCGTAAGAGACTTCTCAAAAACATCTTACCGAACCCAAACCTTTGAAAAGTAGTTATCAATATTTATCCATTTTTCATGATACAATACAAGTAGCTTGTATTCATTGGTGTGCTGGTTGCAGTGCGTTCTGGGATTACCTTATATGCAAGATATTCAGTGCTTTTTTGCCAAAATTAGCCAATCACTGCCTTTAGATCAGTCTTTATGTCATGATGATGCCTCTGGATTGGCAGCTCACCTTTGGAAGAGAGCTTCAGTATGGGGTCATATTGGTCACATCCTGAATGTTGAAATGTCATAATGAACATGCCAAATGTGATATTACACTGGCATCATGGGGCATTTTAACATGGACTCAGCGTGAGAGTTTTTAGTTGATGGCTAGAAATAATGAAGTGTAGGCAAAGGTTGTTTTTTTTCTTGTCACACATGAACGAGAAGTGACAGAGGCTGATGAGGACTGGCTGCTCTAAGTGGCTCCTTCTGCAATGTGCCGCAGCTCTAATTAGAAGTGCATCTGAAGTGACGTGTGAAAAGTGTCAGAATTCAGGGTAAGGCAGGAAGGGGGGGAGGGTAGGTGGCAGTGACGACTTACCACAGTCAGCCCTCTTTTGGAGCTTTTCAAATGGTCCAATTCTTGCATAAAATGTGTATTTTATAGCATTGAAGGCCTGCTTTCGGCCCCCAAAAAAGTGTTTTAGTTAGTCTCACCCGCATCTCTCTTAACCAACCATGTTTAATACATGCAGAAGGCTTGTCAAAGCCAAACAATATCTTCCACCTTCCCAAATAAATCTTTGTTGTGTGTTTGTTTATTGACGGAAAGTAATCCTAGCTTGAAAGGATTGGTGTGCTATACTGAAATTTCTGCCACAGCAAAATGTAAATGCAAGCCGTAGCAGAGCTTTTTCTCTGTAAATGATGAAGCAGTCAGCAGGGTTTGAGCTGCATAACACCATTGTGAAGTGTGAAATGTTGTTCTGAGGGTTAGGTATTAATAATGTGCTGAAAAGAAACCCTACAAACTGTTGCTTATAAATCTTTTCTACAGTTAAGGTTTCCTCTTAGGTTCTTGCTATACAGTGTTGAATGATGTCCATTGTGCTCTTTATTCTGCTGATGGGTTTAAATGAGAAATGTTTAATCTAATAATCCACAGTACCTGGAAGAGAAGGAGGACCTTGAGTTAAAGTGCTCCACGTTGGTGAAGGACTGCGAAATGTACAAGAACCGCATGAATACAGTCATGGTGCAGCTGGAAGAGGTGGAACGTGAGCGGGACCAGGTTGAGTACTAATGTGTTCCTGGCGATGACTTTAGATCAGTTCACTTTCTGTTACCTGAGAGCTATCGATATAGTATTGCTTTCTTCGTCTCACAGGCTTTCAAGTCAAGAGATGATGCTCAACACCTCGTGTCTCAATGCCTGATTGACAAAGACAAGTACCGCAAGCAAATACGGGAGCTGGAAGAGAAGAGCGATGAACTTCAAATCGAAATTGTACGCAAAGAAGCCAAGATAGTCAACCTGGAGTGCAAACTGAGACGGTTGGCCAAGGAAAATGGTTTGGATCAGGTGAGACTTTATCTGTCCGATAGGCCTATGTCACGAAAAAATTCAATACCGGAAGTACGTCTTTTAGTAGGGATACGGCTCTTCCGGTTAGCTTTTTACAATGGTGGAGTCCGATAGATACCGCTGGACCAAATCTCTCCGCCACCTGTCCGAAGTCACATATGACGATGTGGTTCGGATGGTAAATGAAAACTCTCAAGTGGGAAAGCGTGAAAGGGCAACCTGGTACACTACAACAACAGCCGCGGTTAACTCTAGCCATTCGCCAGTAAGGTAAACGTTTCTATGGTAACAGCGAGTTGGACCAATCAGTAGACGTTGCTGCTACGCTTAGGATTGTGGGTAGTGTAGTTTTTTTTTCATAAGATCGCGTATAAAATTTGTTTTTCTTTAAACAAGGTTGATTTCATACAAACTTAGGCCATGTGTCCACCAAAGCGTTTTTAGCTAGCTGAAAACGGCAGACGCTCTGCTGAAGCGCTTTGGGCGCTTGAGCGTTTTGGAAGTGCAGTGTTTTTTCCGTTGACACGTTTCGTTGCTATGATACAGAATATCCGCGGCACAGTTTACTTGTAACTGATTTCGCAGATCATTTGTTTCATACTAAAAAATCATTTTTCTTCCATGTTGTTCGGTTAGCTCTGCTGGTTGATGTCGTTGTACAGAAAGAATGTTGACAGTTGGTCAGTGTTGTTTAGCCCCGCCCCTCCTCCAATGTGTTTGGACGGGTGGATAAAAGTGACAGTGATGAGCGGTGCGTTTTATCCAAAGTTGAACATTTTTCAACTCTCGGCGACCAGTAAAAAAAGCTGGACGCTCGGCGCTTCAGCGTGAAAAAACATTTAGCGCCTTGTTACGTTCATGGCGTTAAAAACGCGGCGCTCCCATTGAAAACAATTGAAAACATACGCCAGGCGCGTGGAAAAGCGCTTAGGGGGACACACGGTCTTATAGCTTCAACAGGAGCAAAAACCTTCGTTTCACAACCTCTTACAGTAGCTCGTGGTCAGTCTACCTCGGATGGTTTAGACATTAAGGCTGATAATCTATATCCTTATCGAAAATACTGTTGACCGGAAGTTCTGTATCCTTACTCCGCGTTCCGGAAGCAGGAAGTGTGACATAGGACTATTGACAAGTTGTGTTTTTTTTCTATTTTGAAACTTGCTCCCTCCCTCCCCTTTCTGCTTTGATTTCACAATATCAGAGCTTTATTCCAAGCCACTGAATATTTCTTTGGATTTCTTTCATGATATTCCCCCTCAGAGTCTGCCACGAGACATTACTCCACTAATTATAGCTCAGCACTTTGGGCAACCTGATGCAAATACAGGAGGTCCTTCAGAGGACTCTGGAGAAGAAGCTGTTGATGATCAAGAGTTTAAGCTCCAACGCAGAAGTAACCTCAAGGGCAGAGTGAGTAGAACATTCTCATTGAATGTCTTCGTAATTATTATACGGGTATAAGCTATTATTTCTGCATTTCAACTATTGTCATTCTCATTTATTAGATCAACAGACCAAAATCTCCAGCAGCTGGACCCAAAAGTCCTCAATTCCAAGGTAAAATGTTTATTAAAGAGTTTTGGTGCTGTATGCAAACTCGCAGTTAAAGGAGTAGTTCACTTTTGCTGATAATTTACTCACCCCCATGTCATCCAAGATGTCCATGTCATTCTTTCTTCAGTTGAAAAGAAATTAAGGTTTTTGATGAAAACATTCCAGGATTTTTCCCCATCTAATGGACTTCAATGGGAACCAAACGGTTCAAGGTCCAAATGACAGTTTCAGTGCAAACTGCAAACTGTTCAAAGGGCTTTAAACGATTCCAGACGATGAATAAGGGTCTCATCAAGTGAAACGATCGCTCATTTAAAAAATAAATATCAAAGTTTAAGTTTTATAAGCTCAAATGCTCGCCTTGCTCTGTTCTGTGATGAGCGTTCTTGACTCTCCTATTCGAACTCCTTGATCAAAATGAACAAATCTTTTTTCCTGTCGTTTGGTTCATTCAACGAACGAAATGAACAAGTTGACTCTGGAAAAGATTTGTTCATTTTGATAAACGAGTTCGGACAGGAGAGTTTGAACTTTGTTATTTTTTTTTTTTTAAATGACAGATTGTTTCGCTTGATAAGACCCTTATTCATCGTCTGAAATCGTTTAAAGCCCTTTGAACAGTTTGCACTGAAAGTGTCTTTTGGACCCTTGAACCATTTGGTTCCCATTGAAGTGCATTATATGGAGAAAAATCCTGGAATGTTTTCATCAAAAACCTTCGTTTCTTTTCGACTGAAGACAGAATGACATGGACATCTTGGATGACATGGAGGTGAGTAAATTATCAGCAAAAGTTTTTTTTAAAAGTGAACTACTCCTTGGTTAAATCATGATAACGTTCACCAAATGTTTGCAATAAGAATGAGCTTTGGCTTCTTTTAATTTCATCTCTTATTATATAGCTGTGCCTTTCACCAATGGAGATCTGTCAGAACATGCAGCCTCTGACAACAACACAATGATTTCTCCTGCAGAGATCTTCTGTAAAAATGTATGACTCATTTTCATCTCATGTCTTTTTTCTCTCCAATTAGTTTTAATTTGAAGGCAACTGTTGTGTATGTGTTTTTTTTTTTAGCTGCGTCTCCGTAACGACAGCATCTTGTCCACTGCGCCAGAGCCTCCGGGCCCTCAATCCATTGTCAGGAGGATCAAGGAGAACCCAAACTCTCAACACAGGTGGTAAGTGTAACATACACACATAAAACTTGTTTAGCTGTTTATTTAAGGCTGTGGCTATATTGTTACTACTTTTATAGATTATTTTGACTGCATTTCCACCAAAAATACCATAGTTAACGCAGTAACCAATCATAAAGACATATTGAATTGTTGTCAGTTGGTATTATAGAGTAAAATTATACTGTCCTGAATCTGTCTTTCAGTCTTCCCTGTTCAGAAACCGCAGATACTGACAGTGGAGACAATGCCGACATGGGTATGAACATCATTTATTCCACCCACTCACCGTCTGAATCATACACTTAAGTGACTCGTCTTTGTAAAAATGTCTTTAGATGACCACGACTTAGACATGTCCTCCTACGGGCCTTCATCCATCCATTCATCTTCGTCTTCCCACCAATCTGAGACAATGGACTCGTATGATCTGGAGCAAGTCAATAATATCTTTAGGAAATTCTCTTTGGAGAGGTTCGTTTTGTTATTTATAACCATTCTTTGAACACTGCAGTGAATTCCTTTAAAAAAAATCAAAAAAATCTTTATGTCTCCGTCATCTCAGTTCGTCTTTACAAAATTACAAATCAATATTAGAACTTCTCTTTGATTGTGCATGTCTATCTTCTTTTTTTAGACCATTTCGCCCTTCATTGACCTCAGGCCCTCAGCGAAACTCATTGCGGCCTGTGCAGAGCCTTTTTCTCTCTGGTGAAAACCTACTGTCAGAAATCACTATGATTGGTGGAAATGATAGTGGCATCTTTGTGTCGTGCGTCCAGTCTGGCTCTGATGCAGAACAGGCTGGAGTTAAAGTCGGACACCATCTTTTAATGGTAAGTTGAACTCCTTCATTTGTTCCACAACCAAAAAAAAAAAAAAAAACCTGTTGTAAGGGTGGTTTCATTTCCTCCTCCCGCCCCCCAGCTGGAGGGAAGTATCCGTGGAGAAGCCCAGAGTGTGGCTTTGGACACGTGTACCAAGGAAGAAGCTCACTGGACCCTGCAGAGATGCACCGGACAGGTGCATCTCCATTACAAGTCAAACTATGATGGTGAGTCCAGACTCTTAAAAGAAAAGAGTTAAAAAATGTCAGTGCGAGGGTCCAATATTTCGAAAAGTCTTACATATGCGGACTCTAAATAAAAGACAGGCTTGAATTAAATGAGCTGCTGCTCTGTTTGGTGTAATAGTCTACTCTGAGTCCATTGTATTCAGTGTGGTGTTGGGTTGCATTCAACTCTAAGCACCCCAGTGGCTCCTGTGCTCAGGTGTTATTTATTGGACCACAAAATGTCCTGTTTTGAGCCCGCTTTCTTGTTTCCAGGTTACAGACGGCTGCTGAAGGAAATTGAAGATGGCGTAGTGGTGTCTGGAGACTCCTTCTACATACGTCTCAATCTGAACATCTACAGCCAGTCGGACAGCTGCTCACTGAACGTACGATGTGACGAGGTTCTCCATGTTTTGGACACCATGCACCAGGGCAAATGCGAGTGGCTGTGCGCCCGTGTGGACGCTTTCACCGACAAGGACCTGGAGAAAGGCACCATACCGAGCTACTCCAGGTGAGGACCCTGAACAATGAGTGACCATTATAGTGTCGGTTTCAAATCGAGTGTGAACGTTTGTCTATTGTCTGCTGCAGATTGTTTGTCAGTGTGTGGGTGAGTGTGTGTGGGCGTGCATTTTTATATCTGTTGACTGTGACGAGAAGCTGTTAAGCGAACTTGGCTTTCACCTCCTCCCCAGAGCCCAGCAGCTCCTCTTGGTGAAGATTCAGAAGCTGATGTGTCGAGGAGGTCGAGAGGAAGTCGAAACTCTGAGAGGGCTCCGGGTCAGTTTCTTATGGATTGTTGGAGAAATGTGCCCACTTTCGGCTTTTACATTTGTAGATGAGTCAGAACTGATGGGACACAGCTTGAAGTGATGGATAAAGAAATATAAAGCCTTTTATCATTTTGAAGGGATAGTTCTCCTATTAAATGAAAAGCTGCCATCATTCTAAACCTATATGACCGAGTTTCTTCTGTGGAACATAAAGATGTCATTTTTACTTAATGACTAAACATCTTTTGTGTACTGGTCAACTGTAAGTCTAAAGGCCCGTTCACACCAAGAATGATCGCTATGAAGAAAACTATAACAATAACAATATTAGCAGCATCCACAACATCACACAGTAATGTTCTGTTAATTATAAGCACACACTGCATTTTTTTCATCTTCCAAGCTCTTTAAAGTCAGTGGATTCTGATTGGCTATCAATGTTTTTATCAGCGATATTGTTCTTCTGTCGTTAATGTTATAGTTATGATGTGGATTGCGCATCTTTTTTTCCTCTGATTCCTTGGCTAAAGACAATTTGAGGCCATTTTCCATTAAAACATTTTTTTTTAATTTTCTGAAAAACCTACTTTTTCGAACTCCTCCTAGACCTTTGTTCTGATTTCACAAAAACTTTACCAACTCATCTTCAGACCATGCCGACAAAAATTTGGTGATGGATTCAAGTTTATTAGTCAAACTCTTCTCGAATAATGCGCAAACGAATTCGACGAATTCCCCTTCAAAATGAATGAGAGGCTATATCTACCGAGCGCTTTAGCATGTTATGACAACCGTGACCTGAGGCTACCTGCACAGTTTCGGCGCAGTGCGACCTAGTGGTCAGGATATGAAAAACTATACATTCTTTCTTAATAGATTAATTTGGTCATGGCGAGAACACAGATGTCAATTTTTTAAATTTTTTGGCCGAACTTCCTGTCCGCCATTTTAATTTTCTTTAAAAACCTACTTTTTCTTACTCCTCCTTCAGACTCTGCCGTCAAAAGCTATGGATTTCGTGTCGATAGTGGTGTAAACCACTGCTTTGGCATATTGACACCAAACTTTGCATGTAATTGTCACATTACTCTGACCACACCACATCAATTTGGTCACGGCGCCATCCATTAGTCGGAAGTGATAGACAATTAAATCATTAATAGTGACTGTATTTATGATTTTTCTGGCATTTTGCCAAAAATGATCTTAATATGCTTTTAATTGCTCATTGTCCTTGGTGTAAACAGGTCTTTTTAAGTCTATTTATAATGTCAGTCAATGCTTCTTGGACCAAAACAGTCATAATTTGACAGTCAAAACAATTTGACCATCAGAATTAAACAAACTGTTTTTGCTACTGCGCCTCTGTTATGATTGCCTAACCTCCATATTACAGTAGTTCGCACTGTTGTTGATCAGTGTTGCTCAATACTTTGTAGGTGTTGATGTGTGTATGGTCAGATTATTGATAGTTGTGATGTTATACTGTACCTACAATGGTTTTGGAATGAGATGTTTTTCAGCTTACAGTAGTTTTCAAAAATTCTACTTGCTCACAGAACACTCTACAACCTGAGGAACCCACGCCTTCTGTTGACCCCAAGTCTAGTCCACGTCTGTCCAGAGCCAGTGTCTTCATCTTTCAGTTATTACAGGTAACAGGTCCTCTCTAGTTTGCTCGCACTGCCATAGGGCTGAGGTGTAATATGCAGATAGAAAAAGAGTGGAGTCTTGCTGAGATTAAAAGCGATCCCTGGTGTCAGTTTGTCAGCAGGGTGGATAACAAGTACAAGAGGTTGAACAGCAGTGAGCGTGTCCGCATTGTCAATGGAGGAAATCCATCATCAGTTTCCAGACCAGGTTTTGAAACCCTGAGGTCTGAGGGTAAGACTGCCCACCCTTGTCTTTACTTGTCTATTTCAGCGAAATCTTTGCAGTGGATGCCATATTAGACGGGTTTTCGTACTAAATATTAGGTGATTTTGTTTTTTAAAGCTGGATTTCCAGGACTGAAAAATTCACGGAAATGCAATTGGAAACCGAAATGTTATGCTCTAATTTTTTTTATCAGCTAGTAATGGCCCTTTTTGAGTGCAATCTCCCCAAAAAATATTTTCAAAATTTGTGAATGCCTGGAAAATTTATTGGTTGAATGGGATGGGAACCAAATGGTTATTCAGAGTCCACTCGTGTTCATTTCTAGTGTTTATGCTGATTCACATTTGACATTTAGCAGTATTTTTTTCCATTCTTTCAGACACATCTGACCCAGAGAGCGACTTAAACAAGAGCTTGAATCTGATCCCTTACAGTCTAGTGACTCCACACCACTGCCAGCGCAAAAGACCCATCCTCTTCACCCCCAACATCCTAGCCAAGACCATCGTCCAGAAGTTCCTTAATCTCGGAGGGGCTATGGAGTTCAATATCTGCAAACCAGGTAAAAATAGCTGGAAGAGGTTTATCCTTCTAATTATAGCAGCACACTGTGGTGATGATGATAGAGATAGCGTTCTGTAAATAAACAGTGGTTGCCAACTATGGGTCACGTATATGATATGCTCATCCTAACAAATGGATCCTTATTTTAATTTGTTCCATGACTTCAACTATTATGTCACAGGCAGCAACCCACTCAGTCCTTGTTTAGAAAGTATTTGCATAGCATTTTTAATGTATGTAATAAACCTTAGTAAATATATCAGAAAAATTCAGCGGTTACAGTTAGAAATTAATGTTAATATAGAGTGGGTTTTTAGTGGGGCAGGGCATAGAGATTGACTGGTGTTTATGCGTAAGTACCTAATAACCAATATTCAGGACTATATGCATTTATTTGTTTGTTTGGTTGTATTTATTGTAAAATGTTTTTGTTTTTTACATAACTGAATCATTCATTAATCTGAAGGTGAACAGACTGCTTTATGAGACTTCTATATTAAAATAACTTAAAATAAAAAGCTACCTGTAAGCAATGTAGTTTCCCGTGGAATACACAGTGGTTTAAATGGCATTTATGGTTGTTATTTTTAAAAACTCATCAGATGGCACCATTTATTAGTAAATGGATTTATTTATTTATTTTAGGAATGCACCGATATGAACATTTTGGCCGATACGATAACTGATAATTCTTTATATTTGAAAGCCGATAACCAATATATTGGCCAATAAATCTAAATCCAATTTTTATATAATTTTTTAAAAGCGTGATTGCAAAAACAAAATTCTCACAATTAAAGGTAGTGTAGGTCAGAATTTTATAAAAAAAACTTTTTGTTCAAAATTTCTTTAAACTTTCTCTATATATCAATGCATAATTAAAATCTAAGTACTCTGAAAAAGAAAGTATAAAAATCGAGTGTCTGTAGACCTCTCACGACTATTTTAAAGACAGCTCATTATTTCCAGTCACTTCACCCCCTCCCTTCTGTGCTCCGTCCAAAGCCACGCCCCCATAACACATGAACGCATAACACATAACATCTACTACCGCTCGCTGAGTAATGCTGTGTGTTAGCTATGTTAGCTAGCTCGCTGAGTAATTAGGCAGCTACGTGTGCCAATGACGCATGCTACTTGAAAACATAAACAAAAAAATCTGTATGATCAAAACACAAAAAGAAAGATTTACCTGTCCAGCAGAAAAGAAGCCATCAAGGCGTCACTTTTCAGCCCCTTGAGGTCCCTCAGTTCTCGCCAAACGCTGGAAAGCCACGCCGATATTCACACGGCTTCTTTGTTTATCCAACAACTTTTTGTTCATTACCTTTTCATGTAATGTTAATGACTTCCTTTTTTTGACTGGTTTGCCTTCGTGAACTGCAAATGTGAACTTAGATTGGTCTTTCTCTGCCATTGTTTTGGTATTCCTAGGTTCCGTGCCTCTTGAAATACACAAATCAAACGAGTGCGCGCAAAAAGGCAGGTCCTGTGTGGCAAAAGGGTGGTTGCCATGGTTGCGAGAGAGTGACAGTTGCCTAGGCCAATCCGTTGTTTCGCCCCGTTTTGAAATAATGAGCTGCGTTTAGTGCAGGTTAAACGGTCTAGAGACACTCGATTTTTTGACTCTTTTTATCAGGATACTTACATTTTAATTATGCATTGGTATATGAAGAGTTCAGATGCAAAATAACAATTAATAGGTAATTATCATTGCCATTTAAGTGAAATTACTGAACTTAAATATACAAGTTTTATAAAAAATCATCATTAAAGAAGAAAATTTCAAATGGCATTTAGAGGCTTTTGCATCTGAACTCTTCATATATAGAAAGTTTAAACAAATTTGGAAAAAAGTTTTTTTTTATAAAATTTCTGCCTACAATCCGTCCCCTAACACAATTATAATGTTTTCATTATAATTTCATGTAGCCGATATGACAGCACATTTTGCACTTAACTATATTTTTCTTTTTGATTCCAATCATGTAGAACAGTGTGCATCTGAAGTGTCTCAGGTGTCAAGTGTTGAAGGAAATAATTCATTATTTATCAGCTTTAATATATCAGCCAAATTTTATTATCAGGCCCAATGAGCAAATATCGGCCGATACCGATATGGTGGCCGATATATTGTGCACCCCTAATTTATTTATACATTTATGAGTAAAATAAAAATAAAAACCCATGATTTGTGCTATACTGACTCTGCAGCTCCATGGCAAAAGAAATAGTTTCAGCTTTAGAAATTGTGAGAATCTGAATGCGAATGTGCCATAGTCAGATACATGAAATAAACTAATCTTATTACTTGGTTTTTTAATTGTAATGGTGCTTCTTCAAAAGTACCAAGATAATGATAAATATAACATTAAACGAACTGGAACTACTTAAGAATAATCGGATCAGTACCACATTCTTTCGATTGCCATCCCTGCAAACAATGTTTTCCTTGACATGCCTCCTTACAAGAACTATAAATTCATCTTCGTTCCAGACATTTTGACAAAAGATGAATTCCTCATGAAACAGAAGATAGAGCCCATCATTTATTCCAAGGAAAAGCAGGCAGGCACATATGAGTGCATCACCCCAGAAAATATCGAAGCAGTTGCCTTTAAGGTACAGTAATAAATGTTCTTTTCAATATAATTTAATAATAGCTAAATTATGTTTATGCTTCTGCTTTCTCAAGAAGCTTGTCATATGTGTGTGCTTGCTGTTTTGCCAAACAGTATCATTTAGAAGAGCTTCCTTTTGGTGAGTGCTTAACCCTTTCCTAAAGACACCAATGGGATTTCACACTAGCCCTGGCCCAACTTCTTAAATACTAGCAATGTTTCACACTTGTCATTTCGAAAAAGGGGTTAAAGGGTTAGTTCACCTCAAAATCCTTTACTTGACCCTCATTCCAAATCCATAAGGTTGTCCACCTTAACAGAGGTTTCTGTCCCTCCATTTGAAAGTTTAGGTAGCCAAAATTTCAAAGATCCAAAAAGGCATCATAAAACAAATCCATATGAATTGAGCGCTTTAATCCAAGATATCGCTTTATACTGAATGATAAACAGATTTAACTTGTCCTCTATTATGTAAAAGCCTATCACTGTGAAAGGGGAATCAGCAGTAGTATGTAGGAGACAGACAGCTCCTGATGGCCTGCAGATGCAATCTGCTTGTTGGGGTTTTATCAGGTGGTTAGATGAGAGGCAGCATATTGTTTTTCACTTGCTAATGTGTCTAGAGATGAGTCTAATTTTCCACTGCAAAACTTGAGTTGTGCCGAAAACAGGACAAAAACGAGAACCGACACCTTGCTGGATGAGTTCTCGATTCTCTTTTCTGGTTTAAATCATACATGAATATTTACAATATAGTTTGGCTTTAATTCTGAACGCATAAATACAACAAAATGAAAGTGTATTACCGTTTTGCTTCGTAGAATAAGCACTGTCTTCTGGAAGCTGATCTGAGCTGTGTGAAAGACCTGTTGAGGAGAGAGATCTACCCCATCGTGATCTTCATCAAAATCTGTGAAAGGAACATCAAAAAATTAAGGCAAGCAGTCTTTCGAGACTCATTGCACTCTTGAGTGAATGCATGTCATATTGAGTATTCAGCTCCAGTTTGAAGATTCATTATTAATGAGTTTGGGATGTTTTCTTCGAGCAGACGGCTCCCGCTGAAGGTGGACTCGGAGGAGGAATTCATGAAGATGTGTCGCTCCAAGGAGAAGGAGCTGGAGACGCTGCCGTGCTTGTACGCGAGCGTGGAGCCGGACTCGTGGAGTGGGGTGGAGGATCTCGTCAAGATCATCAAGGATAAGATTTTTGAGGAACAGAAGAAGACGGTCTGGGTGGAGCAGGACATGCTGTAACCTGATCACGGAAGCAAGTTTCTGCACATCAAAACTCTGCTGCATGCACACATGTGCAAACAGACACAGGCTTGCGAACAGGAAGTGACTCTGTCAGAGGCCACAGCTTGGTGAGGTGTGTGTGTGTGTGTGTGTCAAGAAAAGGCACGGTCGAGGAACGGCTCCATGCGTTGCGCCTGAGGTTCACATAATAGGCCGTGGAAATGTTCTCACCCCTGAGATTCGCATCTATTATTCTCCTGAAGCGAAGCCGTTGTCAATAAAACATTATCCTTCCCAGCATTCACCTGCAATGCTCAATATAGTGCTTCAGTTCTATTCTGGTCGATTTGTGTATAACTGTAAATTCAATCAGATGCAATTATTGTTGCAGTATACAGTATGTACTTTTTATCTTTGAAGGCACAGTACATACGTTAATATAGTTTGTTTGTCACTTCTATATTTATTTTAATACAAGCCAGTAGTGTGATGTGTTTTCAAAGTTAGTCTGTATACGGATAACACACGTGTGTTTTTTACTCGGTGCCCATTTCAGCTGCTACCTAAATACTCGCATACTGTAGTTCAATGGCATTATATGTATTTACATGCTGAGCTCAACTTGTTGTTTTTTTTTAATGTTGGCATTATTTTGTTATCATAACGAGAGCTGTTTCTGATTTAAGCCTCATCCAAATATTCTTATCCGTGTACCGTCTTTACTCTTAGCCATTTATACACACCATGATTTACGGGTAGCTTACAAATAATAGGATTTTTGCATTTTAGGTTAATGTGAATGTATATGGGAACGTTTATATTTTAGGTGTTTATTGTTATTCACCCGCTGAATGTATGAAGTCATTAAAAACCTCAAGTGTAATAATAATTATAAAAGAGTTATGAAGAAATAATATTGAATGATTGATGTCAACTACACTCATTCTGACCCACAGCATACAGATGTGTCGTGTGTATAATATTATATATATATATATATATATATATATTTATTGTTGAGATTGATGGCAGCCTTATCACCCATTTAATAAAACGAAACAGCAGTGATTATCTAAACGAAAGGGTGTGTTTTAGTTAATGTTTGTGTGGCGTCTTATCCAGGGGTGTACATCCTTACTTTGAAGGGTATCAATTTTGGAAAAACAAACAGATTACTAGTAGAACTATCCTTTCCTATCATATCCCACTCCAAAGCCTTGATTTTAATGATATATACATTTTGTTTTATAAACGGACACAGGAATGTACTTTGCAGCTGACACAACATTGCATGGTGTGTTTTATGTAATAAAAGGATTTGAGAAGCAGCATTTATACTCACTTTTCACGCACATGTGCTTCAGAAAGCAACTGACACATTTGTGCTGTTGAAATGAGAAGTGAAAAACAGTAAAAGGGCTTGAAAAGAGGAAAAATCCTGGAGAGAGTGTGTCACGGGCAGCGCAGTGGAAATTTCAGTTGGGCCCCGACAAGCAGACTTCTTGTTGCTTTATGTGGTGGTTGGTGGTGGTTCCTCTCAGAGCAAGCGTCACTCGCAGACAACAACTCTGACGGTAAACCAACTTTCCACTGTGATTGTAAACACCATAGAAGAGGCTCTCGGATCTGTCGCCGCTCACTAAAACAAGGAGAAATACAACACAACACATCACATTAGATGTTTACGACCTGAAAATACTGGGCATCTTTTGTTGTTCAGAATGAAATGCTGTGTTTGCTTCCTTTTAAACATGACAGGTTCTTGTTTAGGATTAATGCATATCTAAAAGGCCAAGGGGAAGTAGAGATATATAATTTGCACATCAATGCAACCACATTATGTTTTGAAAGTCTTGGGCAAACAAACGTTAGAGATTAAGCACAAACTAATTTGTATCCTTTGTCAGAATATATTCAAAACCCACAACATGAAAATCCAGTCTATACAACTTGCCACACTTCCAGCGGTTTTTGTTTGTGCCTTTCTTACACAGAAGATCACTACAGGAAGAGTCGCGTACGTCTCGAGCGTGTCAATTTGCTGTGGCAGATGGCTTGCCAATCTGTTGAATGCAGTGGTCCCTGCATCCATCAATCAAATCTGTGAGGAGCACCGGCGCTGAAATGTCATAATGGACTCCATGGAGGAGTGTGTCTGTCACAGACATCAGAACCTTTGTGTCTCGGCCCATCTGTATCTCCCTATTTCACCCACAACCTTATAAGCGTTACACAAAATATGTGCTTTGTCACAGAACACATTTTCAAGATTATTGGGAAAGCTTTTGCTCATCAGCTGCACCCTTGGAAGGTGTTTAAAGTCACCATGAAAATGTTTCTTTGTGGAATATTGCAGTATTTATTAAAGGACAACTCCGGCGCAAAAATGAACCTTTGGTCTAATTACACATTGGTACATAGTCAACCGTTCTCTGAGATTTGTTTTCATGATTATCGAATGTAAAAAGTTTTATCTCTAAAAACTGTTTAGCTTATAATGATAGTATATAGGGCATAGAGTAATGAAAATAAAAATCGCTAGCTAATAACAAGGCTCAAAATAGCCCCACACTAAGACGGTAGCATAATCAGGATCCCTACATGCAAACCGAAGCATTGAGAACTGTGTAAGTGTACAAACCGTTTAATAAGAAGATATTTTTGAAAGACAGTCTCGAGCAGTCGAACCATGAATATCTGGCTCGTTCACATCTCACGTTCTCCTTTAAGAATGTTTTTTTCCCCCGTGCACATCATTTTTTAATTTATTTTAAAAAATGTGCCCTCAAAATAACTTTTCCTCCCTCTTGCATCTCTTTTTTTCTCTGATGACGTTTTTAATGGCGTGAGGGCGGGACAATCTGTCACTCACATGAGTTCAACCAATAGCAAACCACAACCATCCAATCAATTTCCATGTACAAAATCAACTTTTTTTTTTTCTTGTTCAAGAAGCCGCTTCACTCGCAATACTTCACAGGCTAGGGAAGAAATAGATTTTACAATAGGGAAGAAAAGACTATCTCAACTTCCGTTTCATGCAGACTTTAATGTTTACATATGAACAGTTCAGATGCAAAAGCCTCTAAGTGCCATTTGAAATTTTCTTCTTTAATGATGATTTTTATCAAACTTGTATATTTAAGTTCAGTAATTTCACTTAAATAACAATTAATAGGTAATTATAATTGCCATTTAAGTGAAATCACTGAACTTAAATATACAAGTTTGATAAAAATCATCATTAAAGAAGAAAATTTCAAATGGCACTTAGAGGCTTTTGCATCTGAACTCTTCATATGCTGCTGCTCTTTATGTTCATATTATATCACTTTAAAGTTGATGTTATTTATATGGTATCTGCTCGTGAAAATACTACGCTATTTTCTTTTGCTATTAAATCTTTCAACCTCCCCCTGATAAACATGGACTTGTTTTTTTTTCTTCCAGCAAACCTCCCTCAGTCTATTAATGACATACACTTTTCCATATGAGAGTCAATAAGCTGGAAATCAAAGAGTAGCATAAATTTAATTATTTGCTGTTTATTTAATTAGACATTTCCTTCTGTGCTCTGAGACCAGATGCCTGCTGGGTTTAGAGAATTCTTATCTCACTTAATTAGACTGGACAAAGCTTTGAATCTGTTTTACTTTCTGATTCCCTTGCTAAATGTGTTTCCAGCATTTGTGCCTGAAAACATTATTTTATCCGTTTTGTTCTAAATGTTCTTAATGAATAGTCTTAAATAACTTTTAGAAAACAAGGGTAAAGTAAAGGATTAGTTCATCCAAAAAATTAACATTCTGTAGAATCATTCATTTTTTTAAGCTCTTGGCCTACGACGATAGGTCATAGTGAAAGGGGCCAAAACAAAAAGTCAGCATAAAAATGGGACTTTTGCATTACTATGTACTTGCTTGAGAAAAGAAGAGCTTCGTAAAGATCCCTTAAAAATTCTCCTTTTGATGTACAGGTTTGAAACAACGTGAAGCGGAGTAAAAAAAAGACAAATATTTCATTTTTGCGTGACTTGTCCCTTTAACCCTAAAACAGTATTCTGGACAAATGTGGGCAAAATAGTTTTGATTTATTTTTAAAAAATACTTCCCTTGATCTGAGCGGTCAAAAGACTCGGCTACTTTTCCTAAGTTTGCCTCCTGAACACACACAATTGTTTTTGACTCAATTCTACAATGTTAAGTGGGTGAAAAAAAAAAAAAAAAACCTCCTTAATCTTGTATTTGGGTCAAAAATGGGCACCCATAGAAATGAATGGGAAAAACTGTAATTTAGAGCATTCTAAAATAAGCCAAAATAAGAGGTGACAGCAAAGTCACTTCATCTTTAGGTTTTAGCTGTAAGAACTTATTGGAATGATATTTTAATATAGTTAAAAAAATAAAATAAATAAAACATAAAAATAAGCATAATTTACATAGAAAATAATGTTACTTTTTGAAGTAAATAAATCCAAAAATACCCCCAAAATAAAAAAAAATAAAAACACCATAAATGGATAGTCAAAACTTTATCGAAGACAGTGATATAACATTTAGAATAAATAAAAATTAGGATCACACCTGAGTCCTCTGTGCCCACATTTGTCCACAATTGATTAAGGGCTACAACGACTGCTTATTATCAAGATTTTTAAAAGGCTTTTAAAGACTCTATTTTTAAAGAGTAAATGCTGTTCTGATTTCTTATGTAAACTGCATGCACAAATTAATGTTTTTTTCTTTTTGTTTTTTGCTGACATAGAAAATACATGCTCATTGGCCAGAATATGCAAAAGACTTACCATAAGACATTAACTTTGAATGCAACATAAAAAAAGAGAAATGAAATCTACATTTAAGGCTATGCATCTATTCAGTGACTTACCAAAAGTTTATATTCAATAATGCCATAATAATAACGTTACAAAACTCTTGCTTTATCCATGAATGAGTTACAGTAGCCTATATGAATACCCAAAGTTATAGCACTTAGTGCTCCATTGCCACTTTTGCATGAAAGCATAGTGTGAAACATGGATGGTGGTGATGTTTTTTTTTTTTTTTTCAGCTCTCCACAACAAATTTTCCAAGAATGCTATCATGTGCAATTTTGTCCAATGAGAACAATGGATACTTGTATTTCTGTGTTGCTTTCTGATTTGGTGATGAAAATGTGTAATCATGGCCGTGCTGGTTTCTGAAAGCCTCTTCAGCTGCATTTCGTGAGCATGTTGATTTCATTTTTCCTCCAAAAACCCAGTCCAATTAACCTCCTGCTTGAAAATCAACTTGAAAGCTTTTCCATTAAATGTTTTCCTTGTGCACATCAACTCGACAAATAGGTTTAAGAACTCTGCGTTGGGACCACGGTAATCAGGGAGTGTTATTTCCAGTGCTGTGAATGGCACTGAATTATCTACTTGGAGGAGGAACGAAAAAATTGTCACTATTTATATGCTAATTTAAGAAGCCCTGATTTTCATATGTAGGTGGTCAGTGGGACTAAAATAGCCTGCTCTACTTTACTGCACCTGTGGTTTTAATAAGAAAAATGTGTTTGTGATACTGGGCTGCATGGGCTAACATTTAAATATGAAATATTATTTGAGATTGTTGACAGTATATGTGTAATCCCATAATGTCTTATTAGACGAAAACGATTAGTTGGCTGAACAACCATTACTTATAAAACTAATTAGATTCAACACAAAAAAAATGAAGTATTCTTTTAACTTTTCCAAAATTTGAGTTCATGCAACATATTCTTTACTTAAAAACATTTCACATTGCGTGAACTCAAATATTTAAGTACACATAACAAAGGTTTTCTCGTTAATTTTAAGTAAATTTATTCCTAGTTGGGATTACTTAAAATGTATGATGCAAAAATGGTGCATATAATCTATAAAAAACATAGCTCATTATGTTTTTTAACCTGCGGATGAAGCTATAAACTTTTCAACATTATTGATCTGACCGTACTGATGCTGTTGTATGAGAAATGAACTGAGCATGGATGGACAATGGCATCATTTTTGGCAGAATAGATTAAATGAATTTAAGACAACTGAACTGACTTTTCCTGTTATCACTATAAAGCTGCTTTGAAACAATCTGTAAAGTGCTATATACATAAAGGGGACTTTTCTTTTCTTTTAGCTCGACACATGGATCTAACAGACGGAGCTCATTTTACAAAAAAGAAATCAATGATGTACGTGCACTAGCAAAACATGACTAAAAGGAAATGTATGAATGTATGCGCAGGTTAACACTGC